TATATATATATATATATATATATATATATATATATATATATATATATATATATATATAATATTTGTGATGGGGTTGTGGTTTTTCACTCAAAATGGCTACTGCTCCTCATGTAGTGTAGGAGAACAGACCATACATGGCAGCAATGCACATTGCACATACTTATGGATTAAAATAAAATGTTGAAAAATAATACTTTTCCATCTTAATTTTATGTGATGGGGTTGAGTTAAGCTCGACAGTACCCTCCCTGACAATAATACGCCTCAAAAATATGAATGAAAACTATGATAATACTAACCATTTTCTGCACTAGTATTAAAGAGACCTGCATTATGTAATTTCTGGTAAATTATGTCACATATGTGTGGAGACTAGTATTATATATGGGCATAGAATTGTTAGTGTGATGGGGTTGAGTTCAGAATGAGGGATATAACTTTAAATTATTTTAAAGTCTTTTTATGTTAAAGTTATGTTTTTTATCAAATATCTTGCATTTTTTAGAAAATATTTTTCACAAGAAAGGAACACAAATAAATGCTTAGAAACTATGATTTTTAAACTATGAACTATTAGTATAAACTCAGTGAAGTGCCTCAGGGACATGATAATGCAACATGCAAATGTGGGTGCAATTTCTGATGTATGATGCTTGTCAATGTTTAAGTGGACATATTAAATCGAAAATTATATTTATAACAAAAATGAGTTGTAATGATTTTAGTAAGTATATATTTACTGAAACCATGACTATTTTATACATCTATACAAATAAATGCTTAGAAACTATGATTTTTAAACTATGAACTATTAGTATAAACTCAGTGAAGTGCCTCAGGGACATGATAAAATGCTTGGTTTAAGATAGATATAAGACATTATTTTATGCTAAAAATGATTAAAATTCAATAATTATTTTTATTCATTATAATGTGCATACCAAAATATTGTCTCTAACAATTAGGCCTCTAACAATTCATTTTGGTACACCACCATTTTAAAAACACTGGGAGGCTGAAATATTACTGAATGACCCATATATAATACAACACTGGTAAACTGTACTACACTTTACTATCATAACTGTCAATGAGTCACACATAAAATAAATAAAAATTTTCAAAACTTTTAGCAGTTTTGAAAAGAACATTATAATATATATACATATATATAGTATTTATTTATTTTGTCATGACCACATTACCATCTCAATGTGCATTCATTTTCAGTAATTAAATGGTCTGTTGTCAATTATTTCCTACTTCAACTTTGAACATTTGTTTGGCCTTCCAAAAAAGGACGATATCCACTTCATCATGCCTAGAGCTGATCCGTGCTGGTCGCTAATGAAATACATCAACTTCACTCTGTGGATTGCCGGATCGGCTTTCACCGTGGACGAAGCAGAGTCCAGCCCGGGGTCGTCACATGTGGCTGCCGCAAGCCTGCCTGCCACCGCTCACTCTAATGTTTTTGTCTCGTCGCTCCGGGACAAGGCATCACAGTATGGTAAGGGGCATAACACTTCCGTCACATACTTGAGGTATTCGGCCAATCATAACGCACTGGATAGCTGGCCAATCAGAGCAAACCTCACTTTTCAGACCGATGAGCTTTGTAAAAATCGACGCATTTCAGAAAGGCGGGGCATAGAGGAGAAACAATAATGTACAGTATGTGGAAAATAATGTGTGTTTTTTTTACCTTAAACCGCATAAACACATTTCATTCCACCAAATACACAAAATACTGTTCTTTTTAACAACATCATATGACCCCTTTAACAAGGCATACACTCTCTAACAACACTGGAGAGACTAGAGTGTGTGTCAGTAAAGGTCAAATACTATACGTGCATCTGTGCAGACACAGTGACCTTTGCTTCACTCCTTTCCTTGTCTGACATATGAAACCACAGAGAGTTTATATCACAGCATCTGACCACAGTGAGGCAGAATGAGCAAAGGCCCAGAGCAGCTCACTCAGGAGAAATGAAGAATGATGACCTTACCGACAAGGACTAAGAGGTCAGCGTTTTGCAAGCATGGCCAACAAGGGCTTTAATAAAATAACAAAGAAAATTAAACACTACAGGTTGGAAAAACGGTCTTGATTCAAGTTAAACATACAGTGACAACCACGCAAACATTTTCTGTTCAATAAATCTGACTGAATCAAAATATTTAAAGTAGTTTAAAGCTTCAGTGTGGGTTTTGAACTCCATGTAGATTACCATTTAAATGTAGATTTCACGACAGTAAAGTTTGTAATAATTCCCAACGGCTCACTCCTGTTAGCCATTTCCTAATTTATGGCAGATAATATCATCTTTTAAAAAAGGGATCTTTTTAATAATACGCTTATTCAGAATAACTACATTACATTGATTAGAAAGGATAGTAGTGTACCTGTCACAAAAAAATAATTATATTTCA